AGGATAGAATCTTACTCCATATTGGGTACCATAGTACCCCCAAATTAAAATACTACTCATATGGGACCTAAACCCTAGAGAGATTATATTGCCAGATTCCATACTAAGAGCCTGTAAGCTATCCCAGAGTTGGAGGCCACAGCTTTGGAGCCAGAGGAAAATTCTTGTGAAAAAATTCTTAGGGATTATATAGGGATTATAGTATATTATAGTATGTCATGGTATATTATGGCACATTGTTATGGTAGCTGAATAGATTTTGGGTTTTAGGATTCCGGGGTTTAGGTCTCTCTGCAAACTCAATGCCGTTGAACAAGCGGACGAATAGTTTTAGGGTTTAGGGCTTCGGGCTGTAGATGAGTGGGTATGACGTATTCGAAATAGAGAGCGAGCTACTCGCAACAAGAAGTGTGTTCCAAGTCTGCCCAAGGCTCAGACATGCGAGACTCAGTGCTTTCACCATGGTGAAGATCTGCAGGAGCGATGCTGAAAGACTAAACGAATCACCTCGACCCTGAAAACATGCAAGGGGCATCATGGTTGAGGGACAGGAAGCCAAAGGTTGCAACTGGGCTTCGTGGAGGAAGTATCGTATACCATCGTAGATTATAGTATATTATGGTATATTATAGTAGATCGTAGTATATTATGGCTGGAACTGTCAAGTGCCCAGCGCAGGAGTGTTTAGCTGCTACCTTCTACCTTTGGATGTAGCTGAAGCCACTGATGTCAAACCCTGGTGCCCGGCCACCAGCAAACCCTGAACCCTAAACCCCCTGCACAAGGGCATGACACAAAAAAAAACAGTCTTCTTTAACAATGCTAATCATAATAATAATGGTAACAAAACTTTCCATTTTCTTTTCCAGTATTCCTACACCCTAAACCCTACTAATCGTAACAGTGCCAGTGCGATGGAAACCGGAGCCCCTCCAGCATAAGCCGCGAATGCGCACCCCTAAGCCTCGCCCCGCAGGCCCTAAGCCTACCAGCATCTGGGCCATACCACCTACATAACCCCATCATGCCCATCATCCCTGCAATCTTCACACTCTAAGCTGCCAAACTCCTACAAAAAGACTCATGAGCTCTGAACCACTAGACCTGAAACCTACAAACCTACCCAGGCAAGCCAAACAATCAAGATTTGCGTGCACTTTCTGTGAAAATCTTGCCCTGGGAACTCCCATGCATTTGCGGATCCTAACTGGTGCAAGATCTCCCCCTGTCCACTGCTAAAAGGCATGTTCACAAAAAAGCATGGGTTCCCCAACTGTATATACCCCAATCAATATACTATATTCCACGTTCTTTGGGCTCCCAACAAGGGAGCTTTCAGAAACCCCGAGCCCAATACACCCAGCTTCCATTTCATTTTCGATTTGCTTGTCCATTTGAAGGTAATATAATGTTAAATCCGAACAGTCCCTATATATCCCTAACCACCTGTTAACTACACATCCACTATTGGGATAGTATCCCTATATGCCCCTGAATAATCCGCATATAAGCTTCAACTCTTTATATCACATATCCCTGGAAATCTCAAATATCCTAATTAAGCCCTAAACCCTGGATCCTGCATAATCCTAAACCCTAATCCCAAAACTCTAGACCCTAAACCCTCAAGTCTAAACCCCAAATCCTATATGAGCTATGGTCTAAACTCCTAGTATCCCCCTTAATAAGCCCTTATGGTAGTCCTTATATTATCCCGTAAGTAAGGAATTCAGACTATAGCTCATATAACCCCAACGCTCAGCCAGGCTGTCCCCGAAGGTTGAGCAGAGGCTGCTTGTCCAGACCCCATGCCTCAGAGTGAGGGACCACGGCTGGATGAAAGCTTGGAAGAAACGGTTTGGGGCTTTGGGTTTAGGGTTTAAGGTTGAGGGTTTGGGGGCTTAGGGGTTTAGGGTTTAGGGGTATAGGGTTTAGGGCGGAGGGTTTAGGATTTAAGGTTTTAGGGTCTAGGGTCTAGGGTCTAGGCTTTAGGGTATGTACCCTCATGCACCCCTGCTAGCCCAAATGATAGGTTCATAGTTAGGACCCAGAAAGCTGGTGGGGGCCCATTTTAGGGGCCCATGTAGGATGAAGCTTGAGGGTACACCGGTGTTGGGATTTCCTGTTTTGGAGTTAGGGTTTGAGGTGTGGAGCCCAGGGAGCGGGTTTGGGAGGGTTTTGGACCCTAAACCCCAAATCCTAAGCCTCTAAACCTTAGGCTTTAGGACCTATAGGGTTTAGGGGCCCCAAAACGACAGGGGTCATTGTGTAGCACTCGAAGCATCGATAGCGGAGAGAGACAAACCTACCGCCAGAACTACTGAGACCATTCTGAACATTACAGAAAATGCGTGCTTTGGAGAAACCCTAAACCCTAAACACTAAGTATGGGGCACTCTACAAGAATTTTGGGGATTTTCGGGGAGCCTTCCGAACCCTAAGCAAGACTGTACTTTCCCTTCCTATGAAACCCTACATAACCCCTGCTACAGACCACACAGACCAAGCTAGAACCCCAAACCCTAAACCCTAAAGCCAAAATCTTAAACCCCCAACCCTACAACACAGAAAAAGCTTTTCTGCTCCAGACTCCAGACCCGGCGAAAGAGGCTTCGTTCAACAAACCTGGCTAGCACTAGCACTCAGCGTTCTGGAATTCAGGGTTTAAGTCTTAGGGTTCAGCATGCTCGTGGTTTGGGGGACTTGTCAAGATGAAAGGTGCTAGGCACCCCAGGGGATATGTGCATACATAAATATATAACACGTGGAATCTGGGGTGCCTTGGTAAGGTTGTGTTGGGACTTTTGTGAGAAATACTAATTTAGGGTTTAGCCGGTCGACCAGCTGTTACCCGCAGAAACAGGCGTTGTGTTTTGACTGACCTGCACAGGGCTTTCTACAGCTTGACGTCAAGTCTCCCTTGCATGCGCAGTACTCTCAGCAGTTGCTTGAATTGTAGCTCAGATCTGCGTAATCTTACTGGGGGTCAGTAGGGAATATGGGGATATATCATTATGGGATAATCTCGATATCTTCTTCTCTTGTTCCCTAACAGGGCAGCAAGAAATGTAGTTCGGACCTGCGGTCATACCACGCGGGTCGGTCTAAATTCGAAAGTCCTTGCCACGCACAGTACTCCCCGCTGCTGCCTGAATCAACATTCGTCCGATTTGCGGAGCATCCATGCTGGCCCAAATAATAACGTTCATATTACCAGAGTGTGCGGTTCCCGCGAGCATCCATGCTGGCACAGATAAAACCGTGCGTGTTGCCAGCGTGCACGGTTCCCAGAGAGTTCCTACTGGCCAAGGGAATAGCGCTTGTGTTACCGGCTCATCCCATTCCCTGAACGTTCGCTGCAAGCTCGTCTATTTCACGTCGCGGAGTCCAAGGCGCTTAGGATGAGGCTGTGCGCTGGCAGTTGTTTGCCAAGTCATGCTGCAGAGCTTGCTGAGTGTTACCAAACCCAAACTTGCAAACGTCAGTCACTGGGGAAAGTGGCTGCCGTTTAAAAAAAAAAACACGGACCTGGAACATGCTGCCTTCAAGACATAGGTAGCCCTTGAAAAGCCTGCAAAATACAGTATTGTGGGCCTTCGCCATGTATGCTCTATGTGTGCAGGCGCAGGCAGGTGGCCGGTCGGAGCGGGTTTAGGGTCAAGGGTTACGGGGGCTAGAGTTCAATTACAGTTTGGGACTTAGGCCGCTTGGGGTTTAGTTCCAAGACACAGGACTTAAGATGTAGGAGGGTGGGGTTGACCGGTTTAAAGTTTAGGCGTGCAGGGTCCGGAGTCTATGGCCTTGGTTTTAGGCAAGTGGCCGTGCTAAGTAGGTATGACTTGAAGGTCGCAAAGAATTAGAATAGTTGGAAGCGAAGCCCTCTCAAAGATCTAGGTGGGATTGAGGTGGCTTCAGTCATCTTCAGGTAATCTGAAACTTCGGGATAGGGCCTATGTGCCTGAATCCTGGGAATCATGGTGCCCTAGTACTCTTGGGTTGATCCAGAATTTTGTGACAGCGCGGGTAAGATGTTGTGAGTCTGGCAGGCTTCAAGCTTCTGGCAGCGCTGGGGGATTTAAGAAATCTGCGCTCGGGGTCCAAGGAAAATCGGGCCTTCTCCGCGCGCTGGTCTGCAGAACATCCAAGAATTCTAAGAATCCAAATGCAAGTGCCTACAAAAATGCCAAATCTTAGCACAGAATCGCAACAAGTCCGGTCGACATCGCTGCAGACCGAGATGCTGCATTTACTCTCAAAACCGAAGCCCTGAGCCCGAATAAGCATCAAACCCAAGTTTAAGGGCTTCCCCAAGAAAAGGGCACCTTCCTGCAATCCCGCGTTTAGTTGGAAAAAAGACTCTCGGGCTTCAAGTTCAAAACCAGAAGCCCCAAAAGCACTAAGAACCAAAAACCTTCTGAGCCCCCAAACCCTGGACCCTAAACCCTAAACCTTCTGAGTCCAACCCCTCCACCTGAAATTCAGCCCAATGATTCTCCCAGAGCAGCCAACAAACACGATCTCACCATCTAACAAACAGCTGTGCTTTAGGGCTTAGGGTTGAGGGTTTTTTGCTTAGGGTTTTGGGTTGATTGCTTAGGGTTTACAGTGTGTGCACGTTTTCGACAAAACCGTTTGTACATCTGTAGCACAAGCCATACAGACACCCAAAACGACCTTGAAGCAGTCCTTTGAACCCGAATACCCAAAACGGGATGTGTGACATGTTTGGCTTTCCAGGGGTATTGAGAAAAAGTCCTTCAGCTGTCGTTTATAGTCTCAAAGCTATCTAGAAATCTTCACATCCTCAAACTCCCTGAAACCCCTACCAAGCCATCTGAAGTGCGAGAGAAGGAGCTGTTTTAGGTCCACGTCTTTAGATGCCAGAACCTGTGCAAGCTGCAAATCCTACCTAGGGTCTACGGCCTGGGGCTGAGGGTTGAGGCTTGAGGTCTGTAAACCCTGAACCCTAAACCCTACATGCAGGGTTTAGGGTTTAGGGTTTAGGGGTGCAGGCTCTCGATGTGAGTCAGCTGGGAGCTTCTCCGTTGAAAAGTCCCTGCTTGGAAAGTTCAACAAGTCAGAAATAGAAATTGTATCCTCGCCCGCTCGTTTTAAAACGGTCGCTCGGCAATGAACAGACTGTTAGGGGAGCACCGACTCATGCGTCTGGTACACACTTTGGTTTAAGGGTCTTTTGCATTTTCGCAGCAATTCTAGACAATTTCGGACCTTTGGAATTATTCTTTAGCCCAGGTCTGGAAACAGAGTTGATATTGTCCGAGATTAGTGGGGCCCAACGTACTTAAATCAAAATCCTTATCATAGGGACTCCCGAAAAGGGGCCCTACTTCTCGGAAACCACATTTGCTTCTTCAATGGATAGCAATTATGAAGGACTATGGGACATTGCCTGGTTGTAGCTTGAGCGTCTCCCTACATAGGACCCAACCCATGGCTGCCTCAAAGCCCATTTTAGGATTTAGGGCTTAGGGTTTGAGCAAAACCGAGCATTTCACAAGTCACTTCCTCTACTTGAAGTGTCAAGGGTATTTGAGCGCTGAACGCAAATAATCTGGCAGTTAAAGACTATGCTCTTGAAAAGGTGTCACTTAGAGTTTCATGTTCTTTTGGAGGAAGACTCCAACATCAGCGCCAAACCCCAATCCCGAAGTCCAAAACCCTATATAACCCGGCTATAGTAGTTTCCATTTTCTTTTCCATTATCCCCATTATAACCCCATTATAACCCCAATATAACCCCAATATAACCCCTATATAACTCCTATGTAACTCCTAT